TACCCAAGAGTGATCTGTACCCTAAATATCAACTATGCCTGGAGCAAAAGATCTAAAACCTAGGAGCTAGACAGAGCAAAGGTTAGGAATTTCAAACAGAAATTCTCTATTAGAGCAGGAACTAGTAGATTACTCAATGTCTTTCTTAACAAGATAATGACCCAAATCCAGGAAACTACCCCAGGGGTCAAAAGGACCCAAAACTAAGAGTCAGTAAATATCTGACTTTAAAACCTGAACCATTGCTCTCACTCCAGAGACAACCTGCCCCCAGTCTGCCGAAAACACAGTGTCCCTCTAATAAACCTTAATGTTACTTTCAGTGAATCCTCTCCTGCTGGATGCAAGAACTGAGGCAAATCCCCAAGGCCATCCTTCTGGTAGCACCTGTAAAGGCAGTTTAAAGACTGGTGCTGGTCAGGTGGGGTGTGCCCCTCACTTGCCATGCAGAACCCCTCCAGCAGTCCAGAACACAGGACAGTTTAGGAGGTAGGGGAGGGGCAGAGAGGAAGCAGCATGAGTGCTTTGGGGAGATGGCTGCCACTGCTGGGTCCTGTGTGCAGCCTGACCCTGCAGTGCAACCTGCAAGTCTCAGAGGGAGCTCTGAGTTTTGGAAGGACACCACTGGGTCCAGAGTCTTCCAGCTGCATTCCCTGAGTGCAGAGGTCAGCCCATTCCCTTGGCTATTGTTAGGTCCCTGGGGAGCTGATGGCTCAGGGTCAATTGTGACTACTGTAGAAGGGGAATAAGGTGGCAGATGTTTAGGAGAGCTAGCAGGGGTTGAAGAAGGGGGGGGTCTGAGCCATGGGAGGATGGGGTGAGAGAAGAGATTGGTGTAGAGGATTGGTGGGAAGAGGAGTTGAGAGGTGGGCAGACAGAGCCTATGAGGTCACAAGTAAGGGAAAAATCTTCAGGAGAGGGGCTAGGAAGAGTTTGAGATTTTGAAGGGGGTTTGTCACTGGCAAGGAGGATTTGAATGGTTTTACAAGATTGGAGCAGGGAGGGTCGAGAGCAGAGAGAGAGAGAAAAGCTTGGACATACGGAATTTCAGATCACTTGCCATTGCAATGGCAGAAATTGTCAAGATGTACAAGTGTGTGAAAATCAAAGTACCATTTTCAGGCCATTGGGATTGATTGTCCAGCTTGTACTGAGGCCAAACGGTGTTGCAGTAATAAATCTAAGGAGAGGAGTAGGTCAGGTAGAGAGAGGTGGAAGAGAGGCTAATGGTGGATGGGAGAGCTAGCAGGGCAGTAAGGTCCGAAATCCACAGTTCATAGGCACGTGGGGTCAATTCAGCAGTCTGAATCTGGGAGAGGGAAGGACACGAAAGCCAAGGAGTAGCCCAGGGCAGATGCATCCTGTTAAACTCTCCTGTCGGTCGGCACCAGATGTAAGGAACTGCCAAACAAAGACCATGCCACATGTAGAAAAGAAAGATTTATTGAAGCACATACTGCTGGGCTGCCTCCCTCGGGTTCAGAGGGCAGCAGCTTGGGTGGAATGGGTAGTGGGCTTTATAGGAGGGGCCACACCACAGGGAGGGAGAGTGCTCCTGGTCTCTGATTATCTGTGATCACCTGATGGAACAGGTCGACATGCCCAGCTAGTTGAGAAACTGGAAGTTCCTGTGATTTTGCAAGGAGGGAAACAAGTAGGGGAGTTTTGCAAGCGGTCATAAATCAGGGGGTCTTGTTTCGGTGTTAGCCTTGGGACTCTCCGCCTGTCCCAAGAGTGCTAGGAACCTAACAGCTATGGTTTTGGAGATACAGAGGGAAGAGAAAAAAAAAAAAGTATAAATAGAAAAAATAGTATAAATAGAGTCTCGTGGCTCACTGTTTCTCCTGGAAGTCTCTGCCACATTTGCAGCAAGGTGGAGTCTGTGATCAGAAGGCTTCCAAATTCTTTGTCCTGTGTGGAATTATCCATGGCAAGAAACATGCATGCAAATGGAGTTTATTAAAAGTTTGGGAACAGAAATACAAAAGGGAGCATTGTGGGGCCCCACTGGAATCTGGAAGCTGAGAAAGGTGCTTCTCTTGTCCAGGTACTTTTAAAATCTACACTAACCTATGGGAAGGGAAGAACCAGGTGATTCCCCTCCAATAATAAATGAGTTGGGAGGGGCATGGGTGTTACCTGGGCCAGGTGAGGGCAGTCCCTGAGCCAGATCAGCAGTCAAGCTGAAATGTAATATTAAGTTTCTGTGAGTCCCGAACTTTCCCTAATTTTAGCTTGCCTCAAAGTCACTGGTGCCAGACCTTGCAAAATTTACTAAAGCCAAGAGGTTTTAAAGACGTGTCCTTATGCATGGCTACTAGACATCCAAGCCCTTGTTGGTACCTCTGAAAGAAGGCAAACTCATGTTTTTGGCTAAGGCATTCTATTTAAGTAAAGACAAAAATGACTGTTTTTGCTGGCTCTTTTTGTATCTTTTTAGTAGTTGTGCTAGGGGCTCAAATTACTTTTGCTGAAAAGTACTGACTCCTTCTTGGGCTCACAAATTAAGTAGTAACAAGGGAAAGCCATGGCATCTGTCCTCATTTTATATCTGTCTCTGTTCTAAGCTGTTCCTTTGCAGTCACTTTTCAATTACCTTGGATTTCAGGAAAGACAGATAACATCTTTATGACAAGGCACAGAAACTTCTCCCCAACAGTAAACCTTCCTCAGGATGGACCATCTGCCTATCTCCAGATAACAACTCGAACTTCTCCCAGAACAAAGACTGAGATAATGACCAACCAGGTCACACTTGTGACTGGGACTGTTTAGCTATGCATACCTTTTGTCCTCTGCCCCCAGTTCTTTTGTCTACTTAAACCTATAGCTCATGTCTGTACCCTGAAGATGGCTGAAAATGAGCTGAGTGCTTACTCTGCTTTTTATAGTATGTCCTGAGCTGTGTAATAAACTTCCTTTCTCTTCCTTCAGCATGCTTCTTTTATTTGACTTTTAGGGGTAGGTAGCTGGAGCTGGCATATTTTGGAATCTCAGGAGTTTGGGCCTTGGTTCTAAAACTGGTTTCATTTGGCTATCCTTAGAGGAGCAATGTAATGGATATTTAATGAGATTTTACTTTTTATAGCATTCTTTGTTCAATACGTTGAAATCTGTTTGTTCTTCATAAAAATGCTTTCTCCTTTGTACTGGTGCCAAAATGTAGTGAGAACTGATGGCAAAAAAATTATCTTTGGCCTGAAAGAGTAGGCATGTATAGAAATAGGAACTTGGAAATGAAACCTTTACCTCAGTGAACTCAGTGATCTCAACTTTGTGATTTTTTTCCATAATTAGACATCTTTGAGAATAAAGAGTGTTAGGAAAAGTAGAAGATTTGGATGATTAGATGAAGTTAGAGTCTCAAGGGGACAAGTGAGTTAGCAGCAGTGAAAACATGTAGGGGGTGATTCTGAGTTCTTATTTAGGGGATGTGTGACAAAAGTACAAGAACAATTTGTGGCAAATACACAGAAAAACTCCAATGTTATGAATGAATAATGCCTTTATGATATTCATTGTAAAGATAATTTTAAACAATGTTATTTATATTAACATTAGTTTAGCTAATCCAACTAAACAGTGTTGGCTGAAATGTGGGCTGGTGTTGAGGGCCCTTCCCTTCACAAGCCAGAGAACTGGCTCATGAGGCAGCTGATTGACTTGTGAGCCAAGGCCGGTACATGAAGTAGCATTTATTAGAGAGAAAGGAAAGGCTACAGCCAGAGCAGTGCAGCAGAGCCTGGAAATGAGTGGCTTTCTGCTCAGGTGAAGGCTGGGGCTTTTTATGGACATTTTAACTCTTGGTTTGGGTAAGGGTTAGGTGGGTTCTTCTCATTGGCTATGGAGTTGTGGGCTCTTTTAGATGAACTGTTCTGTTTGCCCCTTATTGGGGAGTGAGGGGGAGCAATCTTGAGAGCATTTTGCTCATCAGCCCTGTGGCAGATGAGACCCTGTATCTTCTCTTCAAGGTGCAGGAATGCAGATTTACACCTCCTTCTCCCACCTCCTTCTCAGGATGCAGGAATCATAGTGCTCTCCATGGGGGATGGGATACTGACTCATCTGCCCTTTAGGTCTCAGGACCCAACACAAACATTTTGAGGGCAGCATAACATTTTAATGTAGATTAGCACTCTTTGAGAATATGTTGAGAGCATATGTTGTAGAATTAGGAAGGTTTTAATAATTGAAATAATTTCTGTTAGTACATCTGATGTGATGAACAAATTTTCTGAAAAGCATGTTTCTAATAATAAATCATGTTTATTTATTGGCATTTATTCAGAATGAAAAGACATTCTGAATTTTATATATGAAATTTATATTTGTGTTGATTGTCATATATTTTGGGTTTATGTTTAGTGTTTTGAGTTTATATATAAAATAAACATTTCAGATGAGGATGGTTCTCAATAGCTAATAAGAAATAAACCAACAGGAGTCACTTTATCTCTTTGATGCATAGTTTCCTTAATATAAATTAAGTGCGGGTCAATAGTATTACTGAAGTTTTTTAATCTCTCCAAATAGGAGAGATTAAAAATCCATAAAAGATTTTTCAGCTTAAGGAATTCCATAACTATTATAATTGAGCTAATCCATAAACAGGCTTATTTCTAGTATCTGTGGTATGGTATGGTATGACATTTAAAATATATCCTTACCACCAAAGGATCTTTTTAATAAGGCAATATAGAAAAATCACCATTATATAAGGAAGGGATATGATCAATACCAAATGAAAAGAATATACACATACTGTGATTATTTAGACAAGGGGGGACCATAGCAGTAGAATATCACAGGTGATAGAAGTCCCTTTGAGGATATATGTGAGTCATTTTCTGTGAGCCCTGTGGAAATTCAGAGCAGAATATATGTTGGCATATAAAATAATGTGTAATTTTTTGTTTAATTTTTTTATTTTTTAAGATTTTGAGACAGGATCTCACTAAGTTGCCTATGCTGACCTCAAACTTCCAATCCTCCTGCTTTAGCCTCTGGAGAGCTGGGAACTACAGCCATGTACTACCATGTCCAGCTGTGTTGTTGTTATGAAGCAACTGCCCCATGAGCACAGAAGCCAATACTACAACACTGAGTTTTGCAAAAAGTAAAAGCTTTATTGCACAGTCAACCAGCAAGGAGACCAGTAGCTGTAAGCTCAAATTTGCTTCCTTAAT